CAAGAGAAAACAGTGGGGATAAACAAGGTGTATTATAGGAGATGTGCAAATGGCGAATCTTAGCCTGCCAACGTAGCATTTCCGGTCGTCACTTCTCTCTCTTAAGCAAGAATTGTTTCCGCTAACGTTTCGTTATAAAAAAAATATGAATTTAACAGAGTCAGGTAACATTTTTTTTCTGTAAGCAAGAGTTATTTCTGCTAATGTCGGAGACTGACTTCGAGAAGTTTTGATGTCTATTGTTTGCTATTTTTGACTCCTAAATAAACGGTCGTCGAAATCCCCACACAAACCCGAGAACAACTCTTCCTGCACTAGCTCTACCCGATGTTTTGTCACGTGATTCATCTGAGATCACGGGACATTTTTGATTACTTGAGGAAGTCCGCAAAGCATTATCGTCCCCAGATCCGCGATCTTTTTGCGGGTGGCGCTGGCCAAACTGATCACGGTCTGCGATGCTTAAAAAGGGTGCAAGTAACCGGACTGTCACAAGAAGTCTTTGGTGTCGGATTCATTACGTCGTAAAAGTTACCTTACACTACCTTCTGTTACATCGCTTCGAGATTCATTCTGTCTTGGAACTTTTGCGCACGGCTTTATTATGCTGCCGCCTCGCGAGGCTGCTCGTTGGCAATAAACGGGCTCAACTTTGTCGGAAATGATTATTTACATTATTTTACAAATATTTACAACATTACTACAGTCAACTGTCTATAAGACAAACTTCTAGGAAGTCTAGACATCTGGGCATGGTACCTTCCTTTCTTCAGTGCTGTACTCTTACTTTCTGTAAAGCCGACATCTCTCCTAGACGGACACTCATGTCGGTTCAATTCCAGTGGTGCCCGTCTCGGAGGGATTGACTTATTGTCTTCACGCAACGCTCCTTCCAAGTGACTACCCTAAAAACAGCTGCGACTATTGCGACAGCTGAGACTACGCAACCTACGGATTAGTTAATTATCTGCTAGCAGGTGACTGACTAATCTGTAGGTTGCACGCGCAATGCATGATTTCCAACCACAACAGAAAACATGTTCTGTGCGACGGTGTGTTAGTTGTCGAAAACGTCACTTAAAAAGTGAATTTGCGCTGCCTCAAAACTCATCGCGCTTATTCCATCTAGTTTGATTCTTCAAATGTTGCCAATTTTTTTTTGTACTTGAATTCTAAAGGACTGCATCAAAGTTCAGAAAAAGAAAAAGAAAGTTGTTGTCTTTTGGTCCTGTCCTCGACAAAACGTGAAATTAGGCAGGTTCACGTTGTAGTCGTGTAACGACAGAAGAGAAATGTGCAAAAAAGCGTGATGCACGTGCAAAGTTTTTGTTTTGCTTGTCTAAACCCACTGCTTTTTGCCCTTCTCGTTGCCATAGCCGTCGTTGTCATCGTTGCTTAAACTCCCTATTTTCTTCTAAACAATGTGTAATAAAACAATTATTAGATTCGGCTTTTGTGATATCCGGAATAATCAAGGTCTCGGTAAGTGTTATCAGCTTTGACCTTTTGGCTCGGCTGATAACACTTTATTTTACCTCGACCTTGATTATTCCGAATATCACAAAAACCACATCCAATATTTATTTGTTGTCAACATCATTGTCATGCCTTAATCATCATTATCAGCTGTTATTATTATTCACAACATTATCGGCTTCTTAAATCATCCGTTATTCTTATGGAAACCTGAAACTAAATTGCGCAAAATGGTATAGTAAATATTATGCTTAGTTATCTGTTTGACTGGTGTCCGGTAGTTTCGCTACGAAGTCCTTTTTCTGTGCAATCCTTCCTCTACAACATTAACTAGGCATTCTATAAGCATGATAAGAAATTTGGGCTCCATGTCCGTTGCTCTTTGTTCCTCCTCAAGAGAGGATCGCGGGCTTATTTCCCAAGCAGCGGCTTGCAATTGAACCTATGGAGCGTTTTCACCTGACGTCACGCGTTTGTGTTCCAAACCAGTCCTGTGGGAGTCCTGGAGTCCTTTTTTCTTATGAAAACGCTTTCTTTTGTTCCAATAAATTAACATAGATGCTGGTCACGTGAGTGAAAACACTCTATAAGTACTGAACTTGGGCTGAAAAGTTATGCCGTCATTTGTGTATCACAGTATTCGTGTAAGGAACAAACTGGGATGCAGTACTATCACGGCGTGCATCAATTTCAAAATACAACTGTATAGCGAAATTCGGAATGAACTGAACCAGGAGCCGATCGGCTCCTGACTGAACTGCGTAGCGAAATGACCGGCAATCGTTTAACCTATAACCAGTTGGGAAAAACTACATCGAGTAGGTGATAGTAAACAAGTTTGTCCAGCGTTTTTATCTTCTTTATCGATTTCCTTGTTAATGCCAAGGAGATTCGACGTGAATGTGCTTGAACATCAAATTTACCACCACCACTACAAAGGGACCAAAGAAGGTCAACACCAGGGTCCAGAGAAAACTCACTTCCCTACCAAGAACTGTAACACCAGAAATGCACCTATTGCGGAACCAATTCGTGAAGTCTTTCTTCTCTTGTCGTGTTCTAAAAATCCTGTTAGGGTTTTGCTGTGCTCCATAATCGCTGTCTTCTACCATCTCTAGGACTCTTTTCAAACAACGTTTGAGAACAGACATCTGGTAGAGTGGAAAGGCGTACAGTACAAAGTTTTCTGTTATGTCCAACACAGCTGTCACCACGATCTCTTGCGTAGTGATCTTGTACTGATCAACAAGAATCTTTGGGATGAGTCCTTCACCTCCAGACATTCCCACGGTGTGATTTGAGGGGGGAAATACAATTAGGATTGTACGTTTGCCGGTTAACCTGTGGATAGGAGTTCACAGCGTAACTTGTTAGTACTAATATGAGCTTTAATTCCGTGGAACCGAGACGTTGTTGTTCATAATATATATACCGGATCGCTTTTCTTGAAGCCGCGAAAAGCCACGGTATCCAGTATAATTTGAACACAGCCTTAGGAATTGTATGAGATTTATAATTAAAATCCTACCTGTGAGGAAAAGCCATCAAACTTTTAGACCCAACATTTAAGGTTTGTACGCTGGCTAAAGCCCTCGAAG